GCTGAGTTCCTGCAGCGGAAACTGGCCAGTTTGAAGCCAACTGAGCGCACGCAGGCCACGCTGCTGACCACGTGGCTGACGGAACTCTACCTGAGCCGGCTCGGGGCTCTGCAGGGTGACCCAGAGGCCCTGAACCTCTACCGGGAAACACGGGAGCGCTTCCGTGCCTTCCTCAGCAGCCCCCGCCACAAGGAGTGGCTGTTTGCCAGCCGGGCCTCTATCCACGAGCTGCTCGCTAGTCACGGGGACACTGAGCACATGGTGTACTTTGCTGTGATCATGCAGGACTACGAGCGGGTGGTGGCATATCACTGCCAGCACGAGGCCTATGAGGAGGCCCTGGCTGTGCTTGCCCGCCACCGTGACCCCCAGCTCTTCTACAAGTTCTCGCCCATCCTCATCCGTCACATCCCCCGTCAGCTGGTAGATGCCTGGATCGAGCTGGGGAGCCGGCTGGATGCCCGGCAGCTCATCCCTGCCCTGGTGAACTATAGCCAGGGTGGCGAGGCCCAGCAGGTCAGCCAGGCCATCCGCTACATGGAGTTCTGTGTGAATGTGCTGGGTGAGACCGAGCAGGCCATTCACAACTACCTGTTGTCGCTGTATGCCCGTGGCCAGCCAGCCTCGCTGCTGGCCTACCTCGAGCAGGCTGGGGCCAACCCGCACCGTGTGCATTATGACCTCAAGTATGCACTGCGGCTGTGCGCTGAGCATGGCCACCACCGTGCTTGCGTCCATGTCTACAAGGTCCTGGAGCTGTATGAGGAAGCTGTGGACCTTGCCCTGCAGGTAAGCCGACAAGTCTTGACCTCAGCCAGAAGATGGACCTGGAGAGCAGTAGCCTCAGATGCTAAAGGGCTGGGTAGGCCATGGCTAGGTGGTGCTGGCTTCCCTTACAGAGAGGGGCTATAGTGTAGGGGTTAAGAACATGGACTTTGGGGCTGACCGGTTGACTAAGTTGGTTGGAATGTAATGTTATTACACCAAGTTTGAGGGTTTGGATCCCTGTACCAGCCAGCCACCAAAAAGAAAAAAGAACACTGATTTTGAGTCAGGATTTGAATTCTGGCCCTACCCCTTACTAAGCAGTGTGACCTTGGGCTGGCTTCTGAGCTTCTGTGCCTCAGATTACTCAGACACAAAATGGGAGTGATGTTATAGTACTTTTACCTCATTGGGTTGACGGAAGTACTATATATGAAAAGCACTCAGAACAGTGCCTGGTACATACGTGTTAGCAGAAGGAGATGGCTGATTGTATAAGGAGAAGGTGCTGAGTTAACAGTTGTCAAATCATGAATTGTCACCTACCTCCATATCATATTTAACATGCAAATTCCTGGCCCTGAACCCAGGACTTACTGAATCAGAATGTCTGAGGGCAGGACTCAAAAATCTGTATTTTGAATGTGTTTCCTCAGGTGATTTGTTTTTTTGTTTTTTTTTTTTTTAAAGATGACCGGTAAGGGGATCTTAACCCTTGGCTTTGTGTTGTCAGCACCACGCTCAGCCAGTGAGCGAACCGGCCATCCCTATATGGGATCCGAACCCGGGGCCTTGGTGTTATCAGCACCGCACTCTCCCGAGTGAGCCACGGGCCGGCCCCTCAGGTGATTTCTAACACACTAAAATTGGAGCCCCACCACCATAAGTAGCTTTTACCGAGCTGTGACAGGGACAGGCCTGCCACTGATAGAGGTTCCTATCCTGGCCCCCTTGCTGCCAGGAGTGCTGGGAATCCTGCCTTGGGGCCTCTCCTCCAACCCAAGTTCTCCCTGGGCATCTGTCTCTCCCATAGTCTCTAGCCTGGTTGGGCAGAGGGCTTGACCCTGACAACCATGGTTTCCCCTCAGGTGGACGTCGACCTGGCCAAGCAGTGTGCAGACTTGCCTGAGGAAGATGAGGAGCTGCGCAAGAAGCTGTGGCTGAAGATTGCCCGGCACGTGGTGCAGGAGGAGGAAGACGTGCAGACGGCCATGGCCTGCCTGGCCAGCTGCCCCCTGCTCAAGATTGAGGATGTGCTGCCCTTCTTTCCGGATTTCGTCACCATTGACCACTTCAAGGAAGCCATCTGCAGCTCACTCAAGGCCTACAACCACCACATCCAGGAGCTGCAGCGGGAGATGGAAGAGGCCACAGCCAGCGCCCAGCGCATCCGGCGAGACCTGCAGGAGCTGCGGGGCCGCTATGGCACTGTGGAGCCCCAGGACAAGTGTGCCACCTGCGACTTTCCCCTGCTCAATCGCCCTTTTTACCTCTTCCTCTGTGGCCACATGTTCCATGCTGACTGCCTGCTGCAGGCTGTGCGGCCTGGCCTGCCTGCCTACAAGCAGGCCCGGCTCGAGGAGCTGCAGCGGAAGCTGGGGGCTGCTCTACCCCCAGCCAAGGGCTCCTCCCGGGCCAAGGATGCTGAGGGTGGGGCTGCCACTGGGGGGCCCAGCCGGGAGCAGCTCAAGGCTGACCTAGATGAACTGGTGGCTGCTGAGTGCGTGTACTGTGGGGAGCTGATGATCCGCTCTATTGACCGGCCCTTCATCGACCCCCAGCGCTATGAGGAGGAGCACCTCAGTTGGCTGTAGGACAGTGTCGCCCAGTGAGTGGGCAGGCACTGGCGAGCATCTACTTCACCCCTCTTGGGAAGGCCATACACTAGTATACGCTCAGTCATCTTGCCATTGCTGAGATATGACCCTGTGAAATAACTGCTACCTGTGAGGTGTCAGGTGTGAGTGTATTCTGCCAGCCTATCATGGTGTTCTGCAGACTTGCCTTAGAGCTGTTGTTACACCATGCCATCAGCCTGCCTCCCAAGACAGGACCTTAGTCAGGAGAAGTCAGAAAGCTAACCCCATTACCACCCCCCTGCATCTATCATCTCTTTTGTCCTTGTCACTCCACACACACATCCTGTTCTCCTTCTAGAGTGAGAGTACCATTCTTTCTCTTCACTTTGATGCCTCTGGACCTCTAGCTCTTCTCCGTCAGAGCAGTCCCTCTTCCTGTCTGCCACAAGTGTCCCAGAAGCAAAAAGGCAGCCCTCCAAGTCCTGGACGTTGGGTGGGAGAGGTGGTGCTAAGGGTGGGTGTGTTCTTGTGTACCCGTCTGGGGCTCCAGTGTGAGGGTACCCTGGGGCCAAGGGTCTTATGGAGGACAGTAGGAGATGGTGATAGGGCTGGAGAGCATTAAACTGTCTGCACTGCACTGGCAGCTCTGAAGTTGATGGCTTTGTGTAGGTGCTGGGCTGAGCAGTATGAGTGATCTCCAGGAGGGGCTGAAGTGCCATGGGGAGGCTGCCAGGGTCCTGCATGCCTTCAAGTGTTGGCACATGTTCCACAGCTCCAGGAACATTTGGAGGGCCCTGCTCCTTCACCTGGAGATGAGACAGTATGATCTTGCCAGATTCCACTTGCTTCTTTGTCCCCCTCACTCCTATCTCTGACTCCAGGACCGGGTTGGGGATTACAGCCCACCATCCTAAATCACCTAGCACAGGCCGTTCTTCTCTTTGGCCAGCAGGTGGTGCTGCTCCCCACAGCATCCTTCGCTCGGCCAACTGGGGGCACTGATTTCTTAAGTCGCAGTCCATTAGTGCTTCCTCGGTTTGTCACCTCTCTAGTTGTCCCAAGAATTTTTTGGGAGTCTCCACCGCCTAACCATGATTCTAAGCCCGCATTCTACCTCCCTCTACTATCCCGTACCCAGGCTAGATTTTGCTTGCCCCTCTCTGCCAACTTGGATCCTTGCCTTCCCAGCTTCTGCCTGGCTTTGATCCTGCCCTGCTACTGCCTGGCATTTACTCATAATGTTGAGGTCCAACATGGATGTGAGTCTGCCACTGTCACTATCCATGGCATTTGGCAGATATGTTTTCTTTTAACCTTGCTCCTGTGACCTACCCCTCCCCCCAGATCACTTTATTGTGGCTGGAGACTTAAGTTCTAGGGAGTACTGGAGTGGAGTCTTCCATGACAGCAGAGCACTCTTTGTACCGTGGACAGGTGTTGGCAGTGCACTACCCAGCACGATGGGCATGATCTATCAGCTGGCCCAGATTGGAACATAATAAGTGTGTGTGCCTGGAATCAGGCCAGGGTCAGGCCCACCTGACTGGTAACTGCAGACTTATCTCTCCTCCAGCCTAATCCTCTTCCGATAATTTCATATTCTGCAGTCCTGGTTGAATCTTGCCCTGCTGAATTCCCTAACCACTACAGGAACAGGGTCTCTTCATGACTTCTGCCAGCCAAGGGGGATGGAAGCTGCCCATTTTTGATGACCCTCAGACTCTACATCTTCCTCTGGAAGCAAGAGTGGGAGCAAATGTGGAGGAATGGGGTCCCTATGGGTGGGTAGCAGGCCTCTTAATCCTGTTCTTTCCACTGCTCCAGGAAGGTTAGGCGGACCCTGGTCCTTTCCCCATGTGGTCTAAGGCTCCCCTCACCGAGATATAACCAGAGGAGGGCTCAGAGGTCTCTCTTCCCCTCTCTCAGTGAGTATTGAGTATATACCTTCATCTGCCACTGGTCCCTTGCTTACTTAGATAAAACAGCTTGAGGCTTCTGTCTTTGCACATAAAGGGAGCCTAATACATGTTAGTTAAACAAACACTGCCCTATTGCTCCCTGCTCCCAGAGGGCTTGGCTACAGCAGCATAGGACGCCCCTTCTCCTTCTGTCTTCTGAGCTAGCCCATCTGGTCCTAGGCTGCTTCCTCTTTCCTGGGAAAAGGCCCCAGGTTTCCCTGGCACTGACAGAATAGGGTTCCGGTGAGTCAGGGCAACGGGAAGCCATAGCTCTCAGATCCCTGGAAACCAAGCAAGGCCTGGAATGGAGAGCAGAAAGAAGGCCTTCTGGGCCTTGGACCTAAGCCTGGGTAAGGGCCAGAAGGGGGTGGGGGAGCAGCTGCGTGGGCAGGGGCCAAGATGAATGAGCTGCTCCTGGAGCGGTCACTGGAAATAGGAGGAGTGGCCACAGGCAGTGACGCTGGGACCAGGGCAGGAGGCCTGTAAACAAGGAAGCCACCTGGGGGAGACTCAGGGCGGCCACTGGTCCTGGGGAGCAGGTGCTTCCTGAGGCCCGCCCTGCAGAGGGCCCTAGGGGGCAGCCGGGCCGATTCGGCAGCTGCCATTAGGGGGCGCTGTCTACTGGCTTCCCGAACCCACTGCTTCCTACCACGGCTCCTGGGGGAGTGGCCACCGGAGGGTGTGCCGGCCCTGCTGGCCCGCCCTCCTTCCCTTCTTTCTGTCCCCAAGGCAGACTGGCCAAGGGCACCATCCCTGGCAGAGAGGACGCGAGGATCAGCCTGGCCAGCTTGGGTGTGAGTTCATTCCCCCCGGACCACCGATTCGCAGTTCCTGCACCTCCCCGCAAGACTCATTGGTTGGGGGGCAGGCTCCGAGGCCACCGGGCTCCAGGCTGCCCTTGGCGCTGCCCCCCTGGCGCCAGGGAAACAAAAGGTTAGGGGCCCAGAGGGAGTTATCTGCCCCCCCCCCACTGGGTGGGGGTAGGGGGCCAAGAGGGGGCACACCTCCTCTCCACTCCCCCAGCTCTGATTCTTCGAGACACTTTCACAGGCGGAAATTCCCAGAGGTCAGAGGAGGGAAACGGTTAATTCCTTTTATTCAATGGGTTCCCCCTACACGCCTCCCCCCAACTTCCTCCCTCCACTTCCTGCCCCCCCCCGTGTGAACAGGAAGTGGAGAGGAAAAGGCTCTGAGCAGAGCAGCTGGGAGCAGGAGGCAGGGAGTGGGCGGCAGGCTTGGTGCCAGCCCTGCCCCTCATGGTTACTTGCTGGAGGGCCAGACTGTGGCCTGGGAAAAAAACTGCAGCTCTATTGGCAAGTGGCAGCCAAACTGGGAAACAGGCCAGTGTCCAAGCTGCCCTTCCCCAACCTGCTCCCAGGTCAGAGGCTGTTGTCCTGAGGGTGCAAGGCATCTGCTGGGCAAGACCCAGCTACCCTGGCCACTGCAGCCCATGCCCACCCCCGCCCCCAGGCTGGGCATCCCGAAGCTGACAGGCATCTCTTCAGGCAGCCGCCAGTCCTGGCACTGGCTCCACCACTCAGCCCCTTGGCTCTGCCAGTCCTTTGAAGCTCATGCAATGCTTCCTGTTTGGGGCCGGCAGTGCCAGTGCCCCTCCCCCACCATTGTTCTGTATAGACCATAGGTCCATCTGTTGCCCCATGGTGGGGCCCCTAGGCAGTGCCACACGGGAGCAGCACCACAAAGGACCCTGCTGGCAGCTTTGCTTATGCGGGGTGAGGCTGGGCCTTGCAGCAGGCTGAGGGTGAATGGTGGTTAGAGGCAGGCCTGGGGTGGGCGGCGGGGTAAGAGGATGCTGGATAGTTCTAGTGCTTGGCAGCTGGAGCCCTCAGCTTTCTCCTCCACCTGGAGCATGAAGATGATGATATTCAGGGAACTACGCATGCAGAAGCCACTAGGAGAGGGACATAATTCTCATGACCAGATTCCAAAAGGGGAAACTGAAGCAGAGGGGCAAACTTTGGTCTAGAATGGCCAATGAAAGGGGCACAAAGTAGGGTCTCCTTTCAAGGAGATTGCCCCCACTCTCTGAATGCCCCATGGTTGGGTGCTTCCTCTTCCCGAGCAGCTCTGCCTTTGCTCAGCTTTCACCTTGAAGTAGCCCTTAAGCTGAGCAGTCAGGAACTGTACCATGAGGTCATGGGAGGTTGGGTGGCCCTAGGTTGATGACCAGAACAAATGTCCACTGAGAGGAAGCCAGGGCAGAAAAAAGGACAGGGGCACTGCTCTGGGCTCCAGGAAGGTGGGTGCTGCTCCTGGTTCCCAGGCTGCTGTGGCCACAGGTCTGTTTGTGTTTCCTAGGTGCAGAGGCAGGTGCCTGCAGCTCACCTCCCCTGTGTGGCCTGATCTTACAGCTCTGACCCGTGACCTGCTTCCTCCCTGGCTTCTGCATAGGGATAGAAGCCCAGATGTGGTCTACCCCACTTCCCTCACCAGATCCTCTGGCTTCTCATCCCTGCCTGGGACCAGAACTGTTCATGGCTCCCAGAGGGCCAGAGCTGCAGAGACCTCACATGGAGACCACAGAGTGCTGTGGAACCCTTGCTCAAATAAAAATTTCCACGAATATCCAGTACCTGAAATTGACATCCTAGGCTTCTCTAGTGAAGGCTGGGTTGGGGGGTCCATGCCCCTGTTCACTCAGCCTGTCCTTTCCTCCCGCTTTCCCATCTCTCTCTTTTTAAAATTTTTTGGTGGCTGGCTGATAAGGGGTGGAACCCTCATCCCAATCTCTGTGGAATGTCAGGGTGCCCATGAATCCAGTTTGAAAACTGCTGAACTGCCAATTTCACCTCCTGATTTTTTTTTTTTTAAAGATGACCGGTAAGGGGATCTTAACCCTTGACTTGGTGTTGTCAGCACCACACTCTCCCCAAGTGAGCTAACTGGCCATTCCTATATAGGGAGCCGAACCCGTGGCTTTGGTGTCATCGGCACCGCACTCTCCCAAGTGAGCCATGGGCCAGCCCTTCACCTCCTGATTTTACAGATGCTAAATCTAAGTGGAAAAATTGGTGGCTGACAGGAGGCTCCATCCAGGATCCTGTCCCTTCTCCAGGAGATTCAGCATCAGTCGGCAGTGATCCCTGGCCAGTTGTGAGCCAGACACTGTCCTAAGCCTTCATTATGCTCGTTTTCCATTTCCAGCCAAAGTGAGCTGAGGGACAGGGAGGTGATCTGGAAAGAGCAAGTGCAAGTCTCTGCTCTGCCATTTACCATCCATCAGGCTAATCACACCCTCAGAACCTCAGTCTCCTCACCTGTAAAATGTGAGTAAATAGGACAGACCTGGAGAGGCTCTCGGGAGCACATCTGTAAAGTTAGACCAGTGCCTGGCACCAAAGCAGTTCCAGCCGCTTGCCTCTCTTCCCCTTTACTCTGTGCCTCCTTCCTCCAGGCCTGGTACCCTGTGAGCCCTATTTTGGCTCTTCCCTCACAAACCCCTCTGGTCTCCTGTTCAGGAGGAATCAAAGTAGAAGTGGAAGAAAGAGGCTTACCTGAGAAGGTTTTTCCAGTTTCTTGGGTAATGGTGATTCTAGGGAAGAGAGGTTCAGGATGAGAATGAGAAAGGAAGCCCTCAGACATGTAGAATATGGCCATCAAGGTGGGACAAGACTGCTCCCTTGGAGGACAGGGGTCCTGGTTTTCTAGAGGTGAGAGGACAGTACTTCAGCTCCAGGGGACTGATAGGAAAGGCCACGAGGGCTGGGCAGATGTCACTCTGGCCACGGAACAGGTATGGCTTCTCTGCCAGCCTGCCCTCATGGTTCAGACCAGAGCTTGCACAACAGCCTGGCTGGCTGGCACTCCCCTGGGAGCCTCAGGAAGTCCCCCTCGTCCCCCCCAACCTGTGACCCCTTGGGCTTGCTGCTGGCCAGAATTCCAGGCAGATGTTCTTTCTTTTACCTTCTGTTCCTGGCCATTTCCCTTTAAGGCTGGAATTCAGAGACACCCCCATTCCCTCACTTTACAGCAACCAATGTCATCCTTTTCCATGCACTTGGGTATAGACCAGCTGCAGCCTGGACTGGGGCAGCTCCCTACACCAGCCAGTGAGGATCCTTTGCCACAGCCAGCAGGGCACTTGGAATCTGGCTTTTGGAAGGGTCCAAACCTTACAGGATTGCCCCCACAAATGCTCTTGCCTCTAGACATCCTTCCAGAATCCTGCCTGACTACATCCCTGTCCCAAACTCCAGCAGATGAAGCAGGAACAGCAAACTGAGCCTCCTTCCCTGCTCACCATCCCCTGAACAAAATCAGGAGAACCCTTGATACTGTTCCACATTAAACCATGCTGTGCTTCATGGTGTTCAGTTTCACAACCAAATAATTCCCTTTGGTTTTCTAGTGGAATTTTTGCTTTTATTTTTTAGGGTTTCTTGGCTTTTTTTTTTTTTTTAAAGCAATCAGTCTAAATTTGTCATCGCACATCCCCCATTTCCGCCCCTAAGGGCCTCCTTTTCATCCCCTGGAATCTGGAAACCATATGTGTGGGCAGAAACCCCCCAGCATCCCCCACCGCACCCTGGCCTAGCCCTGCCTCCGCAGGGGCAGCTGTGTTAGCTGGGGAAGAGTCTATACTCCAGGCTGGGGCTGGAAAGGGAGTTTCTCTTTGGACCTTCCCAGCTCAAGCCATGGAGAAGCCGTGTGGTCTAGTGGTTAGGGCAAGAACACATGGGTTCTGTCCCCAACAATCTCTTTGACTAACGCCAAAAGCCTGGGAAAGTCCCCTTGGCACCTAAGGGACTCAGTTTCCCCATCAGCTGAGGGCTCAGAGCTTCATCAGCTAGCTCATCTCCTACTTTCCTTGGTAGAAAGAGTTTTTGATCTTGGGCTGGCTGGTTAGTCCAGTTGGTTAGAGCATGGTGCTGAGAACACCAAGGTCCAGGGTTCGATCCCTGTACCAGCCAGCTGCCAAAAAAAGTTTTTGATCCAGAATTTCTGCTCTGTCACAAGTTGTATGACATTGACAACTTGTTTAACCTTTCTGAACCTGAATTTCCTCATCTATAAAGAGATTACTATTGTACCTACTAGCTGGTTGGTGTTGGGGTTAAATAAGGCATATTCTCAAGGGCCTAGTGCCAGGCATGCTGTAAAATCTCAATAAATAGTAGTTATTATTGTTAATAAGTAGGAATATATAATGAGGTGGGAGTGTGTTCTCAGCAGCCTGCCCTGAGGCCTGGCCTGTCTGCCCCTGCCTCTGCTGTTCTGACTGCCCTGGCTGGACTTTTGCCTGGGCCTCCTCCAACTCTAGAGGGGCAAGGATGCGTTACCAGTCACTGTGGATCAGGGCTGAGGCCCTGCTGCTCGTCCCTGTCTCCATGACGACCCCAGCCCCTCCCCTCCTTCCTTCCTCAAGAGCTTTCTGTTTACTGTAAACAGCTGCTACAGCTCAGCCCTAGCTGATCCCACCCAGGGCCAGCCAGACCCTCTCTGAACTGGGGCCTGGCTTGGTGGGTGAAGGTCTGTTCACAGCGTCCTGGGCCCCCAAGGCCTTGAGCAAGCTCTGCTTTGCCACCTTGACTGGAGGGGAGGGGAGAGAGGCAGAGGAGGGGCCTCAGAGAAGAGGCAGCTGGGGCCTCAGAGAAGAGGAGCAGATGGCGCGTAACTGAGGAAGCCCACATCGAGAGTGCCTGTGTGGAGATCTCTGGCTTGGCCTTAGACTGACCTGGGTTCAAATCCTGGCCTGGATTTTCTCACCAAGTAACCTCAGACTGGTCATTTAACTTCTCTAAGCTTCCCTCCGCTTACTGATTTGTCAAATGGACATGATAATACCTCCCTGAGAGAGTTGGTTGCCATACAGATTGATGATAATCATGTAAAGCCCCTGGCTCAGGGCTTGACACGTTGCTAGCCTAAAATGATGGCGGCTAGATTTATTATTTCACTTCTCAGATCCTCTCCTTCTGCTCAGGGACGTTGCATGAGTCTTGCCTGTTCCTTGACCTGGCATGCCTCAATCATACAAGCCTACACATGTGCACAAAGCACATACACATACATAGGAGCAAACATAAGCCGAGTAACAAATGAAACACAAATGTCTGAGGCACAGGAGACTCTCCACAAGGGTGGAGGAAAAGTCTAGCTGTTTCCTAAGTCCTTACCTGGGCCTGAGTAAGCCGACATCACCAGGTCACCATGACTTCCTCCCTCTCCCTCCACTAGTCCTCCAGGATTGCAGCCACCATCCCTGCCCAGCTGAGTACAGCAGGTATACAGGTAATACTATTAGGGCACAGCTCCCCTCCTCTGTGGGTCCAGCTTTCAGGGCAAGATGGCCTAGGATGTGAGTCTCCTGGCATCCAGCTCCTGGCTCCTGATGGGCCCACATTGACTCCTTTCATCCTTGGTTGGCTAGTTAGGGGAGCTTTGTGGGGTAAGAATTCAAACTGCCATTCCTCATAGCACCAGGCCCGTGCTGCAGCCCTGGGGCAGAACCTGGGGTTAGGCAGGGGCATTCGTCAATTTGAGTCATTCCCCACAGGCCCATGAGTAAGTATGGCTCTGGATTTCCAGACCCCCATCCCTTCCCAGAGATGCCCGCTGGGGTCTTCCAGGGCTGGGTCTCTGTTTGTCCCAGGTGTGGCCCTAGGGCTCCCTCCAGAGGAGGGAGTAGCGGCTGGAGGCTGTGGACTCAGCTGACTCTGCTGCACCTACACCCCTTTGCCCACAGCCAGGCCTAACTTGGAGTTTCTGTCCTCACCCCAGCCTGGGCTACACGAGAAAAGAGAGGAGCCCCCAGTACTGAAGTCAGCCCCGCGGGCTGGGCTGGAAATCCCCCACTTCTTACCTTGGCCGCTTGAGGAAACAGCCTCCCGGCATAGGGCCACCTCCCGCCAGGGACTTTTCTCCTGGGGATGATACGGAATGCAGGGCAGCTACAGGGACCCCAGCCTCGCTGAGCCACACTGCAGCCAGCCTGAGGGTAAGAGGAGTGTGTCAGCCCCACAGGACCACTCACTCCCTTGCAGGGAGCGTGGCAGCCAAGGGTTCTAGAACCCACGTGGGACTTACACAGGCCTAAAGTGGGCAGGAAGAAGGGAGGCCATGGGGACTAGTGGTGGCCAGGAAGGTCTAGACTGCTGTGCGCTTCTGCACCCAGAGCTCACCAGCCCCTTCCCCATTCTCCTTCCTTCACCCCAGCACCCAATATGAAATGGCCTTCTGATAGGATACAAAGCCCTCACTAATATTCCAGGATGGTTGTCTCCAAACTTTTTTGATCATGAATATTAATGTATAAATATTTATACAGTACAGTCAAAACACATTAAACATTATTAAAGATATTTTTTTTTTTAGCTAAAAAATAAGTGTAAATAGAAATCCTATTTCCAGGGCCGGCCCGTGGCTCACTCGGGAGAGTGCGGTGCTGATAACACCAAGGCCATGGGTTCGGATCCTATATAGGGATGGTCGGTTCGCTCACTGGCTGAGTGTGGTGCTGACGACACCAAGCCAAGGGTTGAGATCCCCTTACCGGTCATCTTTTAAAAAAAAAAAAAAAAAAAAGAAATCCTATTTCCTCCCACCCCCCAGCCCCCGAGATGCCTTGCC